CAACATTCTAGAGAGAAGAGTCAGTCCTTTGCCTAAACTCCCCCAGCTTGTGGGAGCAGTCTGGCATAGTGCCCAGTGGGCTGTACCCAGCTCTTATGTCAAGCTATCATAGAAATCTGCCCTGCTGCCTCATGTTTAGGCCCAAAACCTGGGGTCACTCTCTACCCCAGCTTCAGGACTGACACAGGGTAGGACTCATGTCCCAGGCCCTATGCTACTCCACAGGGACCTCCCAAACCCTTGCTTGCTTATCCCATCATTAAGCAGGAGCCACCCGTGCTGGGCCTGTGTTGATCACTGGCCAAAAGGGATACCCAGTACGGTTCTTCCTGGAGCCATATGGTAGATGAGGGCACAACCAGGCAAATAAGGTCATCTTGATGACTGGGCTTCAGAAGCATGGAACTATGGGCTTCTGAGCCCCAGTGACTTGGCTAAAGAGGTTGCCCAGCAGAAAAGCCACTGAGAGAAGCAAGGTCTTAGCACTGTGCCATCTCCCTGGAAAGGAGATTGCTCCTGGGCAAGTCAGTTCATCTCTGTGGCTCCTCCCCTTGTTGCCAAAACACTGTCTTATTGGCCTCTGCACTGCCCACTAGACTGTGGTCTCTATGAGACCAGGGTTGGGTCCCTACATCAGCCCAACTCAGAGCCACTCAGAAAAGAATTATTAAATGATTCAGCAGTGGACAGTGGGTGGCACCAAAAGCGAAGCGGTCACAATTATAGACAAGCCTATAAAGTACTCACACCTCTGCCCTTCGTCCGGGCCATTCAAAAGCCACATGGTAAATACCGTCATCTCCGTGAGCAGATCGGGACACAGATCCATGTGCAAAGGGGTTTCCCACGCTTACACAGTCCATGCACACGTGGAACCTGTCAGATGCCACAGCTCGAGTTTGGTCCTCACTGGGGTAAGGCTGTCCTTCAGGGAGCTTGCTGACCAGTGGTGACCAGCCCATAGAGCCTGCACAAGGGACTGCTCCCATCCCGTGGTGGGTCTTTTGCTCTTGTGTGTCTCTATCAGAGCCATGCCACATGGGTACAGACTTCCACCTGCCTCAGGCCGTTACCCTGCTTCCTCACTGAGCCACCCTGGGATCTATCACCAAAGCCCTTGTTCTGGACGAGCCCAGTACACTCCTTAGCCTGACATCTCATGGCTGCGTGAGCATGCCAGATCCTCATATGACCTGGACACGCAGCCTCTTTCTCTATGGCCATATAGTCATTGAGGCCGGCTCTGAATTTTTTTTTTTTTTTTTTATTCCAAGAAAGGGTTTCTCTGTGTAGCTTTGGCTGTACTGGACTCGCTTTGTAAACCAGGCTGGACTGGAACTCACAGAGATCCGCCTGCCTCTGCCTCCCTGCGAGCTAGGATTAAAGGTGTGTGCCACCAACGCCCAGCTCCTGAATCATTTTTTAATACAATCCCCTCTTTATTTCTCACTGAACCACAAGTCAGGCAGCTATTCCCATGTGAACAAATTCCTTCTCCGAGCCTCAGGACTGTCCACAAAAGGAACAGTTCTTTTTGGACTGCTGAGAGTTCTTTTGAGGATAATAGATAAGAAGATGCCTCTGGAGGGTGCTTCTCTTCTGTGTGGGGGATGGGCGTGGGGGGTGTAAAACAGACATTAGGAAGAGCCCAGTAGCTCTCAGCAGGAGCCAGGCCACAGAGAGAGAGATGGAATTCACAGGGTCACAAATGAACTTGCCTCTGGATCCTTGAGAGAAGCCCTCTTGCCCTTGTGCTATCCAGCACCATAATTCTGGTGAACAGACCCAGGCCTTAGCAGGCAGACCTGTGCACCAATCCAGCTCAGGCGACTGGGATGGTAACCGGAGGAGGCCACCAGGGTGAGAAACACCAAAGCCTGGAATATCCTGCTACAGAGAAATTTGGAGACAGTTGTAGCCAAACATCAGATCTAGGAGGCCTTCTGGTCTTGGGGGTCACAGAGGTCAGACTGCATTTAAGGCCCTCTGAGACGGGCGCTGGACAGTTCTTCCATCTCCGGGCTGATGATGCCTTGAGCAGTACCCAGAAGCTTCTGATTAGAAACTTCTAGAGACAGGGGTGTTCAGCCCCACCCTGCCAGCCCATGACCCACAGGGAACCTCGGTGGGTTCTACATGTGTTGCATTTTGTGGTACTCCTCACCACAATATGGCTGAGGTGGAGGCAGTGGAGGTGTTTTCTTGTGCTACGGAAGGTGGTAGGGCCCTTGGAGGCCAGGCCAGGCACCAGAATGCTCAGGGAATGGTTTCCCAAAAGCACTTAGCTACTCGGAGCGAGACAACAGTCCAGGGGAGGGACTGTTTGGCTGTGGCATCACAGGACAGTGACAGCAAGGCCACAATAAAACTAGAGACGACAGTTGGGAGCTGTGAAGAAGCAGTTTGACCAGATCCTAAGTGAGGTACGGGAGAGGCTCAGACTCAATAGAATGATCTATTATCCTGAGGTAGGGAACTTTCCTGCTGGGGAGGACACAGGAATGGGGAGTTAGCGTCCAGCTATGTGTGTGGCTTCACAGGCCACACAAAGACCCCTGGAGCAGGTCTGCCAGAGGCAGGTTGAAGGTGTTAGCCAGGACCCTGTGGCCAGGTAGCCGTGTGGTTAGTCCAGCCAAGCAGATCCCGGTCTCCACTGCCACCTGGTCTGTGCAGCTGGGCACGGGCTCCCCACTGAGGAAGTGAGGTCCAGGAACTGGGAAGGCAGGGGCATGAGACATGGGAGGTGGAGGGGTCTGTCCTCTGGTGATCATCGTAATGAGGTGCTGTGGGCTGAGGGGCTGGCACCCAAGAACAGGCACAGGGGCCACCTCCAGGGTCACTTAGAGCCTGAGGCCTGTGCATCCGCCATCATCTGGGGACAGTGCAGGGAGGACTGAAAGCCTGGTATGCTCTAAGAGAATGTCTTCTGGTGGAGGGGGGGTGGTGCAAGAATGGGGGACCACTGTGCTAGAACCCAACTTTCTGTCCCAACCTTGGTCTACCCAATGAGGGGATGAGGCCAGCAGGTCCCCAAGACCTCCTAAGTTAAATTCTAAGCCCCATCAAAGGGAAAGGAGGGATCACAAACGGTCAGGTCTACTTCTGAAGAACACAGTCCCTAATGCCTGAACCCCACCTCTACCACCAGAGAGGCCCAGGGCCCACCCATCCCCAGCCAGCATCCCCTGTCCCATCCCCCATCTTCCCCTGCCACTGAGCTATAATTACCCACACCTGGGAAACAGGTAGCCTTTCTGCCCCTGTCCCACATGAAAGGCTGGCAGGCTCTCTGCTGGGGTGGGTGGCAGGATTCCCCCTCTGCTTTAACCCCAGGAAGGGAAACATTTGGTGAGCACCCTCCAGGTTGGCACCTGGGCCTTATGGCTTTTAAGTGGAAAGAGTATTTGATCTTCACCTTGGCCCTAGGGAGGTGGAGAAGCTTGTCTTCTCATTCCCCAGGTGTGCCTTCTACCTCACCCTACTGCTCCAGTGGGTTCCTCTGTGAGGAGATGAGAGGGTACACATAGGCTATAAACCAGTTAGGACTGGCCCATGCTGGCACAGGGGCCCACCTGCCTAAGTGTGAGGAAGGTCAGCCTTCACAGTACCTGGACTTCAACGATGGGCCTTAGAGAGATGGCCTGGATCAGAAAGGATAAGGAAATAGGCCTTGAACACCACAAAGAAGCCCACTCACAGAAACACCCCATCCCCAGCTGAAGATACTAGTCTCAAACTCGGAGAAGCCAGCCCAGAGTGTCGGGGGAAAGGTCGTGTGCTTTTGGCAACAACCACGGCTCTTTCCAGATGGCAATGGCCAGTGTTGATGCTAGCCTTGAGAAAGAAGGGGTTGTCCTTGCCTGGGCTCTGCAGCAAAAGCCACCCCCCACTGCTCCCCCCACTGCTACCTTGCAGACACACCCACTTGTGTTTGCCTGCCCATAGGATATTAGGCTTTCCTTCCCTCTCCCTGCACCCCTACCCTCTCTGGGAAAAGGCTCAAAGGCAAGACACCACGAATCTACTGAAATTAGCAGTGTGGACTGCTGGTATCCAAGACTTTCACTCAGGCTCCCTCCCAAAGTCTTTGCAGAGGAGACCCATGGCATTTGCAGAATTGAGAAAAGCAGACACAGCCATGTGCCAGGTGAAGCAAGGTGGAGGCAGGAAGGTAGCACGGGTTGTGGAGAAGGGCGCCCCGTGGTGCTCTGCTGCCCCCACGGTAAAGGGTGAGAGAAACCCACTCACTCGGGCAGTTTCCTGAGAAGCAAGCCTGCCAGGTGCTCATGATGAAAACCAGGTGGCGAATGGCCAGAGATCTGGGAGAGTGGCGGGCGAGCCATCATGTCCTGAAGAGCCAACTCCGCAGTGTTCCGAGGGCCTGTGGAGGATCACTGTCACCCCACAGCAGCTTCAGTGGCCTCCATTATGCTCCCAGCCACTCCGGCCCCTTTGAATTTTGCAGAAGAAGGGGGGGGGGTGGAAGTACTAGACAGACTTCAAGTGGACAGAAACCAGATGCCTCGGCAAAGGGTTCGGCAAGAACAGATGTGAGGCTTGGAGCCTCCCTAGGGTGATGGATGGTGTGCAGCCTGTAGGAACCCAGTCCTGTGGCAAGGCCAGCAAGCCATTTCACACCAGGCTGGGCTTTAGAGCCCCCATGCCTCTGGCAGCCCCCAGCAGGATCAGGCGTCTGAACCCAAGCAAGGAAAAGATGTAGAACAGCTCTAAGCAGCCACGAGGCAATCCTAAAAGTGACCTCCCCACTGTGAATGATGACCTTTAACCCCCAGCACAGCCCTAAAATCTGCAGACATTTCCATAGGAACGGTACTGGTCACACATTTTATAGATGGAGAGCCTAGGGCTCAGGAAGTGTCCCAACAGCCAGGGTACCACAGATAAAACCTGAGCCCAGATTCCTGCTCTCACTGATGGGGAAAGGCGGTAGCTAATTCCTGGGGAAACTGAGCATCTCTGTTTGTCCCCTCCCCTCGCAGAGACATGCGCAGTGAACAATGGAGGCTGTGACCGGACGTGCAAGGACACTGCCACCGGAGTGCGGTGCAGCTGCCCGGTTGGATTCACGCTGCAGCCGGATGGGAAGACGTGCAAAGGTCAGCACACGGGCTGTGTTGGCACAGCCCTGCCTGGCCCCAGAAGGCCCATATGGTCCTCCAGCTGGGCCCAGCGAACATGGCTGGTGGGCAGATGAACGGAGGCAGCTGGCAGCCACAGCAGTGGCTGTCAGAGATGTCCAAAAGAGGGAGAGTCCCCAGCAGGGTTCGGTGGCACACCTGCGGTCTCCCGGGTAAGGGAGGTTCTGATGCCAGAGACTCTGCCTGTAGCTTCAGAGCTAACAAGAGTCACAACAGACCGTTCTAGGTCTTCAGCTCTAGGAAGGGGGGCCCACTCCCAACCCTTGGCCTGAGTTGTGTGGCGTTAAGCCTAGAGCTGGTAGGGACAGCCTAGAACAGGGCATGCATCATTGTGTGTCTCTAACACAAATGTGTGAGGGACCCTGAGCCAAAGGCAAAAGGGCTTCATTTGCTATAAAAACTGAGGCATCTGGACATGAGGATGAAGGTGGCTGAGGTGGAAGGTAAGACCGCTGTGCAGCTAGGAAAGAGCAAAGACTTGGTGGAACTTCCTGCTGTTCTCACAGCCCAGTGACGTCACGGTACTCCAGCCATCATATAGTCGCCCAGGCTAGCGGATAAGTATGAAGGAGACAACACGGCCTTAGGCCCACAGGCCCTGGCCTCCTAGTGACTCTTAGTTTCTTATGGCTCTTCTTCAAGATAATTGGGCCCTTTAACCAGGCTGGCCCTGCCCAGCCCTTTGGCCAAACCTCCTTCATGAACATGAATCACTCCCTGGGGCCCTCATTTCCTCCTGACTTCTGGAGTGGGCCAGCACACTCCTGCAACTGAGGTGCTCTTGCTCCTGCTGGCTTCAGGTGCTGGGAGGAGGGCACATAGAGATGGTTTCTGTCAGTCTCTGAGGTAAAGATGCAATTCACACATTATGACGCCCTTATGAGCCGCAGGTGGAAGGTGGGGGCAGTGGCCTTCCCCGGCATTTCCAGTGACTGCTGGCCAGGCCTCAGGCAAGAGTAAGTAAGACAGGCACAGGTTCAGCTTGTCACTTCGAGATGATTTCACAGCACTGCCTAGCCTCTGGGCAGAATCTAAAAGAGCAGCAAAGCTTCAAGTGCCATTGCTTAAGCCTGGTGACCATGTCAGGGGAGAAAGCAGAGTTGAGATTCTTCTATGGATGGTACTAGTTAAAGGGCCAGGGGCTCCTGTGTAAATGCCTAACATGGCCATCGTGACATGTTCAAGTCCAAGAAGCCAGGTGGCAGCCACAGACCTCAGGGGTGGTGTTGTGGAGTTCTTGACAGTAGGCAAGAGAGGTCCCAGCAGTGCTCAGGGCCCTGGGCAGCACAAGCAAGCCAACGGGGGCTTCCTAGTGCACCTGAGGACCTGCCCTGGGGTTCGAGCTCACCAGTCAGGTGTACACTCTGATCTTGGCGAGGGTCCAGGGGACAATATCAAAGGGATGACTTCAAAGCTTCAGTGTTTTCTGAAAGCCCAGAAGTCCTCATCAGGCAAGAGCAGGTGGCGGCAGGGGGCGGTGACAGCTGAGAAACCCAGAGCTGGAAGGCCTGGGCCAGCTGGGAACATCAGGGCAGGTGGAGGCAGGGTGGGAAGGTGGAGCATTTGCCCAGGCACGGGGGGGGGGGGGGGGGGGCAAGGGCCTGGGGAGTTCACTCCAGACCTAGTTCTGCTCTAGGCCACCCAGCCCCAGGCTCCCTCTTTGGTATAGTGCCACTTGCTCTCGGATGAGAATGTTGCTAACTGATCCTTCCCCCAAAGAGGGGGCTCCTGAGCAGGGATCTTAGATTGCTTCTGATACTGACGCCCCTCCTCCCGGCGTCCCTCAGAACAGTCTGGGAGAGCCCCCACCCACTGCTCTCCCTCCTCCTCCCCCATGCCCTGAGCCAAGCAGGCCACCTGCCAGGACTTTCATCAAAGTGGGAAAGAAGGTGTCCTCACCCCACTTATGGGCCAACCAGCCCAGCCCTTGGCCTCCCTCTGCACTCATCTGAAAGCCCACCCTCATAGGCCCCCACCGGTGGCCAGGCTGTGCCCGATGAGAGAGCGGAAGGGAAGAGAAGGTTGACCTGTGCATTCCTGTAGCTCACCCCATTAGGACACCCCTATACACATGAATCTGGGCCCAAGGCCTCTGGCCCTCAGCTCTCCCTACTCTCTGGGATTCTTGTCTTGCTATTGAGACCTCCATTCACCTCTGGGTGAATGTTCTTAGGATGTCCCTGCCTCTAAAGGCCCACCTCTGCTCTCCTCAAGCTCTCTCATGTCCCCAAGAACAGGGTCAGTGACAAGAGAATGGCCAGGACAGATTTTCTAGGATAGGGGTAGGCAGAGGCCTGCAGAGAGTCAGCAGAGAGAAGCGAACAGCTACAGAGGAAAGAGCTGTGAGAATCTGCCCAAAAACAGCAGGCCCTTATCCTAGGACACCAGAGGCCTCGGCATGCTTAATCAACCATGGAAGGTAGTACTGGTTGCCCATGGTAAGGCGCCAGGCACAGGGTGAAGGGAAGAGGTGAGAGGAGCAGCAGTTGCACTCTGGAGAGTCATTGGAGGTTGAGGTCCATGTGAGGCCAATAACCCTCACTTAGATCCTGTGCTAGAGAAAAGAGCGGCTTTCCCGGCTTTCCTGGCTGTCCAGGCTTTCCCTCTACCTACACATAAGCCGGCCACACCGGCTTGAGCTCTTTCTCATCCTGTCCCTGTGGGAGCCTCTTCAACAAAGACCTGAAGCACTCTCTGTGGGAGGGAACAGGAGTCCAACCATGGGCAGCACCGGGTGAGCACGGCATGAATGGAGGGTCTCACAGAGGCAGACAGACATCCTTGAAGTGTTAGCCAGAAGCCCACACTGTGAAGGAGAGAGCTCTCTAACACTGGAAAATATATGAGCTGAGGCCCACTGGGGTACACTATGAGGGGCATCACAAATGGCCTGGGCTGGGGTGGGGTCGGCGATCTGTGGAGTATAGCCACTGCTCACTAACAGCCAAAACGAGAACAGCTTAAGCGAACAGACCTGGAAATGGGATGGGCCCAGACCTCACTCACCGGAGGAAGCCTCACCACCACCCAGCTGCTTCCTCCTCCACTCAGCCTCCCCTCAGCAGGCGGCAAGCAGTGCACCTGCCCTCAGGTGTACTGATACCCACTAAGCCCCAGAACCTTGGAGACGTGACTCCCTGTCATCTTCATGGGGTCTGTCTTGTGTTATGGGGACCCTTTCTGTCCTCATCCAAGGATGGAAAGGGGGGGGCGTGCTTGCATAGCTTGCATAGATTGGCCCCTGTCACCTGTGGCAGCCATTGCTGCAGCCTCACTCCTTCCGGAACGCCTCCCCAGATGTTTGGGTAAAGGGACTGGGGGGTGGGAGGGGCATCACTGTCCCTGTTGATCTCGGGGATCCTGTCGATCAGGGGTTAGCTACTCATGCAGGTTCTTTGTATCTGCGCTCAACTGGGGACCAGCCCTAGGCAGTGAGCAGCAGGTGGGTCAAGAAAGCAGGATGGCACCCCACCCCTCCCCAGGCCATCCCCACCACAGCACCTGAGCCTACTCCCCTCCCCTTCAGACATCAACGAGTGCTTGACGAACAATGGAGGCTGCGACCACTTCTGCCGAAACACAGTGGGCAGCTTTGAATGCGGCTGCCAAAAGGGGCACAAGCTACTGACGGACGAGCGGACATGCCAAGGTGAGCTCCCGCCAGGCCCCAGCTACCACTCACAGTCTGTTGCCATGGTCAGTGTCCCTGCGCTCCAGGAGAGGAAAGCACCCAAACCGGCTAGCTCAAGATACAGGATTCTCAGGCTCTTGCTGCCTGCTCTTGTCTGTCTTTCATGACTTAGAGCCACACAGTCCAACCCTGTCCCCTTCAGGGATGAGAAGAGAAGTGGGTATGGTAGTGCATGCCCCAATCCCAGCTGGGGCATGAGTCTAGCCTGGGCTGCACAGGGGGACCTAATTTAATATGTGTCGGGGGGGGATATATACATATATATACATACATACACAGATACACATACACACACACACACACACACACACACACACACACACACACACACACA